TAAAGAGGGATAAGATTACTATAGTATTAAAGGTTATAACTTAAGATTTATTACTAGTCTATAATATTATAGTAGTTCTAATTAGCTAAGAATATTCTACTAATCTAAACGTTACTTTAGTCTTAGTTCTTTAGTTACCTACTACCTATAAAGTAATTAGGACTTCTATATATTTAGTCCTTTTTTTACTATTTATTAATTATCTTAAACACTTTATAGGAATAATTATTAACTAATAAGATAGTATAGTCTATTAGTATAACCCTCTTTAGGAGGTAAGCTAATTTAAGGTAATCTTTATTAATAACATCCTAGCGCTCTAAAGATTCTACTAAGATATAAAGGCCTTACTATATATTAAGAATCTAATTAACACTAGTACTTATATTATTAACGTAGCCTAATAGCCTAGCTTATAAAAGTGTAGCCTCTACGTTTTAGAATAGTTCTAAATAGTAGTCTAGTATAGTAAATTATACCTAACTAGAAATCTTATCTTCTAAAGTAATAAAATAAAAAGTATACTAAGTAATTAAATATATATATACTAAATTTAGTAAATTAGCTATAAGTTTTACTATAAAGGTAACTAAGTTAATAATACTATATATAATACTTTAGGAATATATCTTAAGGACGTCTATAGTTAATATAAAAACATTTATATAAAGGTATTAGTAGGCACTAAATTAAACTATATAATTATTAAGAAGCTATATTTAAGGCTAGGCTTTATAATATTAATTAAATAAAGTATACTAACTAATCTTTAGATCTTTAGCCTATATTATTATTAATTAGTTACTAGCTAGAGATAGCACTTACTACTTAGACTATTACTAGGCTTTATACCTTAAAACCTACCTAATTAGTCTATCTTAGTAATAAATACTATTAAAAGAAGGTCTAATTCTAAGCACACTCCTATAAGTCTTATACCTCTTAGTTAAATATTACTAGTTACTTTATAACTAATTCCTTAGACGCTTAATATAACGCTATAATTAAAAAGACTTATATGTTTACTTATAAACCTATATTTACCTCTTATTTTATTTAGGCTAACTTTATTATTAGTTACTAGAACTAGGCCTTTAGCTTAGGTTTTACTTAAGATTAAAGATATTATAAAGGAAAACCCTTTAACTTAAGCTTAACTACTTTAGAAACCCCTATTAATTAAGTAATATAAAGACTTATAGCTAAAAGAGATAACTTCTTAAGATCTAAACTTATAGTTAGGATAAGTAAATTATAAGTTAACACTTAGTAAGTTAAAGCTTAATTAGTAAAAGGCTAATAAGTTACTTTAATAAGAGGCTATAAATTACTATTATTAACTACTATACTACTAAAATAAGCTTTTTAAGAAACTAGTAATTAATAAGTATATATAAGAAAAATAAGTTAATTAATATAATAACCTAATTAATAAGTTAGCTTATATAACCCCTATATATACACCCTAGGTACTACTATTATTAAGCTAGGATTAAGAGGGCTAGGATTATAAGGACATAAGGCTTTAATAGGATTACATAAAGGAGGTATATAAGCAGGAGGTAAAAGCTAAGAAAAAGAATAAGAAGAAGGGCTAACGCTAATTTACTATAAAGGTAGTTATATAAGGGCTAATCTTAAGGATAATTTCTCCTTAAGAGGACTTATAAAAAAGAAATTAGGGGATAATTAGAGTAAGGTAAGGTAATTAGCCTAAAGTAAGGTAGTATATAGGCTAATTAGAAGATCTTAATCCTAATTAAGTATAAAGATATAAGTTAGTGTTAATAGGTTTAAAGATAAATATATAGAATTTATCTTTTATACCTATACCTACTTTTTAATTAAACTAAAGCCTTTTTATAATTTACCTTTAATTATAATAATATAAGATAATTAAGAGTAATTACCTACCTAATTAGGGTATAATTATACTTAATCCTATAGTTTAATACTTATAATTAATATTAATTCTAGATAGATTAAGATAATTTATACACTAATTAGTAAGGAATCTTATATTACTTTTAGTAGTTATAGTGTTCTATATAGTTACTACACTATAAGAGTCCTTTATACCTTATGCGCTTATAATAGTTAATACTATAACATCCTTTTAAGTAGCCTATTTACTTAAAAATATTACTATAGAGTATATATAAGAGGCACTTTAGATATACTAAATTAATATCTACCTTAGCCTACCTAACTAGATTATTACTAATACTAGCCTAAACTTTTATGCTAGTAAATTTAAGTAGTTAGTAAGGTTACTTTATATTAATATTAAAGAAATACTAATTAAAGCCTATAATAGTATTAGTAAGGTTAAAAGATACTATATACCCTTTTAATATACGTATAATATCCTTTATAGTAAGGGCTATACACCTAAGGTTACCCTTTAGCTAGTTATTAAAGTAATTAATAATATAGCTAGCCTAAATAGCCTAGTACCTATACTACTAGTCTTTAGTGCCTACTTATAAATCTCTAACTTATTACTACCTTTACTAACCTTACTTAAAAGGGCTAAAGTAGTAAGAAAAGTAATAAAGGCTATTTACTAGATCTATATAAAAAGGTAAGTTAATAAGGTAGTAACTATATATAACAGCCTAAATACTACTATAATAGTAGCCTTTTTACTTTAATCTATAGTCTACGTTTAGTATAAGAAAAAGGGCTAGTAAGGCCCTTTTTACCTTATTACTAGTAATAGGACTACTTATACTATTAACCTCCCTTAAGGCCTATAAACTTTTTATTTAACTATTATTAAACTATACCTTAAAAATACTTATAATAAGTAATAATAGCTACTCTTTAAGGTAGGTAGGTAAGGTAATAAGGAGAATAATAATAATAGTATAGTAGCCTTATTACCTACTAACGTCTTTACGCCTACTAAAGAAATATATAATAGTATTACTATTACTATATACCTATAGCTAAAGTAAAAAGCTAGCTACCTATAGAGGTATATTAATTTCTTTAATAAAACTAGCTTTACTATTAGGCTTACTACCTTCTTTACTACTATAAGTATAGTATATATCTTAATAAAGGAAGAAGCTAACTAACTGTTATTAATTAAGCTATAGAAAAAAGGTATTATTACTACCCTAAGGAAGCCCTTTAAGTAAGTAACTACTACTAAGATTAAAAGGCTTATTACCTATAAGGTATTTTACTTTATTTAATATAATAAGAATAAGCATACTAAAGTATAAATATTTAAATTATAGATTATTAATAAGGTAAAAGGCTAGAATAAAAAACTATATAAGAAATCCTACCTTATTATCTAAAGATATACTAATAATAGTAAAAAAGTAATTCTTACTTAGTTACTTATAATCTAGTAAGCTAGCTAGCGCCTTATTCTTACCCTTACTTTATTTTTTATTTATAATAATAATAATTTTTTACTTTAGTTACGTAATATTACCTAGGTGTATATATAGTTAACTACCTTATTAAATTATATAATTCTTATATGCCTTTTATTATAAATATAGGACCTCTATCTAAAGGGCACTATTATATAAGTAGTAAAGCTGTTATATAGTATTATAAAGGCAGGCACTTACTAGTAGGTAATATATAGTTACTACTTTAGAGAAAAGCTCTAGATAAAGACTTTAACCTTTAATTTATACCTACTAATTACTAATATAGAGAGCCTAGACTTTAGGATTATTAGTATATAAACTAATAATACTATTACCTTTTTAGATAAATCCTTCTCTACCTATAAAGCTAATAAGCTTACTAAGGCTATATTTACTACTAAGGAGAAGTAAATCCTTACTATTAATAACCTGCTTACCTTTAATAGTAGTGTAGTATCTCTAACTACTAAGAGGAAGCTTTTTCTCTAATAAAAGGGCTAGGGTAAGAGACTTTAACCTATTAATAAAAAATCTCTATAAGCACTTAAGTAGCACGTTAAGTAATAGGCCTATAGTGCGTATATTACGTTAGTTTACTAGCCTAAAGCGTACTTTAACTACTTTATTATAGTATAACACTAATTACTTAATATAGATAAGATTAAAGCACTTAACTATTATATTATATAGTAAATAAATAACCTTAACTATAGTCTGTTATTTTACTTACTTAACCTTAAATTTATAAAGCTTTTTATTTTTATAAATAAATTATTTATAAATAATAAGGACTTTACTTTATAGCTAGGATTTATTATTATTCTTACTAATAAGGTACTTATAAGTACTACTATAAGTAATAGATTTACTATAACTAGTAATATTATTTACTTTAGCTTAATAAAGTATAAGTAAGTTACTTAAAGTATACTAGCCTTTAAGATTTATAGTATAGTTACTAGTACTAATATTACTTATACACTTAGTATAACTATTATAATAATTACTAACTACTTTAAGCTACTATATATACTAATAATCCTTTATACTAACTTATACTTACTTTATAAGTACCTTATTAAGCTTAAGACTATAAAAAAAAAAGCTTATAATTAATATTATAGCACTCTAGTAGTTATATAAGTAATATAAGGTCTATAAGGTATAATAAATATAAAGTAATAATAATCCTACTAATAGATTTACTAAATTATTACCTAATAAGATATTAAAATAACTAGTTAGAAATAAAATAGTTTAAATTAATATAAAAGGATAAGTTTTTTAAGCTATATAATAGATTATATAAATAAAAAGTATTAAATACTTTTAGGCTTTTAATTTTTATTACGTTTTTAGGTTTTTTAGCTACTAAGTAGTATCTAGGCTATTTATAGTAATTTTCTTTTACTTTAGAAAGTTACTAGTATTAGGATATTTAACTATTTAATAGTAAAGCTAATCTATAGTTACGTAATTTACTGTCACGTGACTTACCCTGGCGGCTCACTTACACCACTACAAATACCCACGGCAGCGACCTCTTCTCTTTTCCTTGATCATCATCTTCACCCAGCTACCAATAGTCAATTGATACTATTGCGGCTACCTTGATTGCGATCCCTGTGATACCAACAAGAGCATCTCCTCTGACTGGGCCTGATCAAATAGCCCCGCAGCTTTGGCGTCTGGGCCTAAGGGTAGGGGCGGGAAGGAGTACTTGCTGGCGAGGTACTTGCAGATTGCACGGCTCTCATAGAGATTGAAGCTGTCAGGGAACGTGACGACGGGGACCTTGCCCCACAGGTGACGCTTTATATTCTCTACCGACTGGATAGCGCGGCAGGGGTTAATGTCAGCGGCAGTCCGTCTTGTTAATGAAAGGACAACATCTCCTCCCACCTTTTGCTCACCCTGTTGCAAGTTAACGAGCACGAGTTCGTAGTCGGTGAAGCCAGCCTCGGCGAGAGTCGGACACGGTCGGTGTTTGTAGAGCCGCGGGCGCCGTACAGAGTGAAAGCAGGTGGCATGTTGGAGCGGTGCAATAGTTTCGACACGACCTTGGGACTGTCGGAAATGAGCTTCGACATGAGACTTCGGGAGCTTTAGAGTCTTGAGAGATGAATTGGGAGGCACCCGTCGGCATTCTATATCTATCCAAGCCGACCCAGCCAGGCTGAACCTAAGTACCGAGTGAGAATCGATGCTGTATACCTTGATAGTGTAGACGAAGCCATTGGTGTTCTCGCCAGTGCATCCGGTTGGCGGGTTCACTTCTGTACCCGATCAAGCTAGTGCTGACGGGATTATCTTGCATGCAGCCCTGCACTGCGGCGCATTCGCTGCCTAGCCGCAAGGCTTGCTTCGGGATGCGTAAGACTGACAGCGTCAACGTTGTCAGCGCGGCGAGGTTCCTGGTCAAGGTCGCGGTTGAAGGGCTCTTTGTGAAAAGCGCAGTGGTAATGAAAAGCTAATATTGCCAAAAGAAAAATGCCGTAAAACAACATGGATATGTTTTGGGGGTCAACGGGGAAGCTTGGAACATCGATATTTGCACATAGGTACTATCGGTTCAATCTCCCATTATATTGTCTGAGCTGACATTACATTTAAAATAAGACGTCAAAATTATACTCTTCAAACTCAATCCTGCCAACCCTCTCTGACACTGGAAGACTAGATAAGCGGTGTCTGGGGGACTTCTTACATTACCTTGCCCGTAACAACCTCACTCTGTGCCACGACGCTGTTGTTGTACGCGGTCACGTCCCGGAAATACAGCTCCTCCCCCGGCGTCTCGTACGTGCCATCACCGTCCAGCCCACTGAGACGGAACACCTGATGCGTCCGCCCGGCCCCGGACGTGACCGTGTTATCCGCGTACCGGGAGTAGTTCGCCGTGCCGTTCCTGTCCGTGTCGATCACGCTGGCGGCCCACTCCGCCCCCTCCCTCTGGAAAGCCTCGAGGCCCGTCGGGTAGACGGTGTTTCCCTGGACGTGAAGTTTTAGGCCTTGGTCGAGCTGCGCCCAGAGCGTCAGGTTACCCTCGGGCAGGTACGAGGTCGTGGTGTTACAGTACAAGGGGTACGAGAAAGTCGTCTCGTAATCCCACCCGGGGCTGTTGGAGGATTCCTTGCCGATCGTCGAGAACGTATTGATGCCGCCGTAACCATTTGCATACAGACCGCCCACATTCGAGTACAGCAGGTTCTGGCTCCACGTTGCCGTGCCGTTGCCCTTTTGGGTGCTCACTCGGGAGGTGATGGAAAAGTTCCTCTTCACTGAGATGGCGTAATCCAGCGTCGAGTTGAACCCCGTTGCGTTCTGCTTAAGGGTCTGAGAGAATTCGATGGCCGGGTCTTGGTTTGCCGTGGACCCCATGACACCTGTCGTCACGCTGTCTTCGTCGTCGAGCCACAGAAACACCTTGCCGACCAGATACCAGCTGCTTTCCGTCGTGTCCGACAGGCTCGCGCTAGTGACTCCATCATCGACGAGCCCGACCACCCGGATGCCGATGGTGTGGTTGTTGCCATCACATAGGAGCGGCAGCCATGGGCTAATGTCGATCTCGTGGTCGCGCAGGTCGAACGCGTCAATGCCCACAATCGGCCGGTGCAGCTGCGGAACTACGCCGCCGGTGAAGATGACCGGGAACGGCCACTGCACACCGGCCAGCTGCCCGTCGACCAGGACCTGGACCTCCCGGAACGGGGAGTATCCCGGGTAAGCGCCTACGTCCGGCTCGAAGGCGTCGACGGCGGACTGCGGCACGTTGCTCCACCAGAACTCCTCGTTGCCCTGGCCCTTGACGGACGAGGAGAAGACGGCCCGGTTCACGTTGCGGGGGAACCGGAGGGAGGCGGTGGCGTCTTCCTCGGGGTACGTCCAGAAGCTGCCGGTCACGCGACTCTTCTGCGCGGAGACGGGGAGGATGAGGTCCGCGGGCGCCTGGCCCCCGCTCTGGACGGGGCTGTTGAAGAATGTCGCTGTGAGCGTGGAGTTCAGGAGCCCCGTGTAGACGTCCGTGATGACGTTGTCGAGCTGGAAGATGAGGGTCTGCGGCTGTTTCCAGAGCGACAGGTAAGCCGTTGAGTCCTTCAGCCAGGTCCAGGTGATGCCGTTGGCCGTGGGCTCGGCGGTGGAGGTGGAGAAGATGTTGACGTCGCCCAAGTACACGCCGCCCCAGCGGTCAAACTGCCTGCCCTTGACCTCCACGGTGAAGTTGATCACGACGTGGTCGAATTCGAAGTCCGGCGGCACATAGCTCCCGACAAACGGGATCCCATAGCTGTTGGCGAACTGGTGGTCCATCAAAGTCACAGTGATGGTCTCCTCACCGGCGGCACCGGACGGTAGGAGCACAGGCTCGGCCACCTGAAACGTGTCCAGCAGAGGCGTCCGCAATGAGGAAGTACTCGCCGCCATCTCGACCTCATACGCGAGCCGCCCCATGTGCGCCAAGAGATGCTCCTTTCCGGGGTTTTGCATTTCGAGACTCCGGTATTGCGCGGCGTGTTGGACTTGGAGCTGCCCGGCACAGACAGAGGTCACCAGGGTTCCGGCCGCGAGGGCAGCCATCCAACTCCGCCCACCTGACTGCCAGATATTCGCGGACGCCATTGCTACTCAGCGCAATTTATAATAAGGCGATTTCCACGATACCAGACTGTGCCACGTGGAGGACAGCAGGCGGAGGGATGTGGACTAGGCATGCGGGAAGTGGGACGGGTGCAGTTTATAAGGTGGCGGGGAGGAACAGCCGCTCTGCGGCATCCCGGCACCAGGCGGGATGAAGTTCCGGTGGGGTGTTAGAGGCAGGGATAGTATTAAGTAAAGGAGTTAGTAATAGGCGTAGTTAGGGTTTAATTATAATAATTATTCTAATATACCTCCTCTAACCCCTATCTTCTATAAAGTTTTCCCTTTTTATTATTCCTTTAGTAACTAGTTTATCTAGTCCTAGTCCTACTCTAGTACCCCCCTAAGGCCCTACTTTAGGCACCTAATATAATCCCCCCCCTCTAAGGTCCTGCCCTTAGGACCTTAAGCAGGCTATCTACTAGTAGCCCCCCTATTAGCTACTTAAACTATTTAATAGCTAAGCCTTATACCTAACTCTTAATCTCTTAAGGCCTTAAGTAGGCTACTTACTAGTAGTCCTCTTATTAGCTACTTAGACTATCTAATAGCTAAGCCTTATACTTTATACTTATCTTTTAGTATCTTAAGAGGTATTTAGGAACACCTACTAGGCCTAGTAGGCTACTAAATAAGTAGTTATCTCTTTAGCTAACTATTTACTTTTAGCTTTACTTTTATATTATTATATTCTAGCTAAGCCTTAACTACTACCTCCTTAGTGTAGTTTAGTTTTTTAGCTTAAAGTATAAGTCTTATATTACTTTACTTAGTAAGGGACTACTTACTTTATAATAAGGATACTTTATTTACTTATAATACTTTTTAATACTTTTTATTAACTAGGCTTTATAGTACCTTTTTAAGTACTATATACTTTTTATTATTTTTATTATTATAATATCTAGCTTTTTTATTAACTATTTATTAAGCCTTAAGTTATATTACTTTTATAATAAGGGAGAATTCTTACTTTACTTTCTATAGTTAGTACTAGTAACCTTTTAGTTTTAGCTAGCTTTTTTTACTAAGGCCTATTTAGTCTTAACTTTATAGGCTTAAGTTATTATTATAACTAGCTTTTTTCTTAATACTAACCTAAAATAAGTAATTTAAATTAACTTAGGTTTTTATTAATTTCTTTATTACTTATTTTTTTTTTATAATACTTTTATATTATTATTTTTTTTTTTTACTACTACTATTACTACTACTACTTAGTAGTAATAGTAATAGTAATAGTATTAATACTAGCACTAGTACTACTAGCTCTCTTACTACTACTATTATATTTACTACTATACTTACTAATATTACTAATACTACTAATACTACTACTTTTATTACCCTTAAAGTTACTAAAAGCCTTACTACTACCCCCTTACTACCCTCTTAGTTTATTAGCTTTTTAAATAAAGAAGATAAAAATAACTATACTATAGTTTATTTTATTTTATACTATTACTACTTTTAAGCTATATTTATTTAGTATATAGATATAGCTAATACTAAGGCTAAGCTTTTTTACTACTTTAAGACTACTAATAAGTATTTAATACCTTAGTGCCCCCTAAAGGCCTCTTTTTACTTATATCTTAGTCCTAATTATACTATTAGCTACTAGTAATAAGTACTTTTAGTATACTAAGATATATAGTAAGAAGTATATTTATATAAGTATTTTTATATTATTATTTTTTTTTTACTAATAAGAGGTACTTTAGTAACCCCTTACTAACTTTTTATAAGCTACTTATATTATAACTTTTACTACTTTTACTTTTAAGAACGTCTTTAAGGCCTTTTACTATAATAGTACTATATATACTAACTACTACTACTATAAGGTATATCTTTTTTAGTACCTTATAACTACCTCCTAACTAACCTTTTATATAAAAAGAGGTTATTACTACTTAAACTATAGTTAAAAAAGCCTTTTAAAAAAAAGTAAATACTACTAAGGCCTTTAATACTAAGTATAAGGCTAAGGCTAAGGAGGAAAAGTAGCTTCTTTATAGCTATAAGGTTATAGCCCTTAAGGCTTTTACTACTACTACTACCTCTCTAGCTAAGTTAGCTAAGGTAGCTACTATAGCGCTTTAGTGCTAGAATATACTCCTTAAGGAGTAAACTAAGGCTATTAAGGCCTAAGGCGCCTTTTTTTTTAAGTAGGCTACTACTTACTTTTAGATTATATATTATTCCCTTTTAGTAACCCCTTACTACTCCTTAGTTACTAACTTTTATTTTAATATATTACTAACCTTAACTTTTAGTCTAAAAGTAATATAGCCTTTAGTATACCTAATAAAAGTAAAAATAAAGAGGAGAAGTAGGCGTTACTACCCCCTTAGTGCCCTCTCTCCCCCTTTAGGCTTTCTTTTAGTTTTATTTTTTTTTTAGCTACTATAGGCTTTAAATACCTAGCCTTTAGGCTATATACTTTTTAGCCTTAGTGCTAAAGAATAATAATAAAAATCTAGCTTTTTAGGCTAAGTACTTACTTTTACTTAGTGTTTTTTTTATACCCCCTTAGTAACCTCTTACTTATAGTTTTACTATAAATCCTTAGATATATTTTTTTATAGCTCTTATAAATTTTTTTTTTTACTATATCTTTTTTATTTAATAAGGTACTACTTATTTTACTATAGTCCTTTATATACTATTATTTAGTTTACTTTATATATATCTTTTTCTTTTCTTAATCTAAATAAGCTAAGGCTTTACTAGTGCTTTTTTAAACTTCTTTAGCTAGGATAATAAAAATATATTATAAATATAGTACTTTATTTTTATATTTAGCTTATAGGCTTTCTTATTAGTAACTACTTATATTACTATAAAGGGTTTAAAATACTTATTTACTAGCTTTTTTAATAGTTATTTTTACTTAATAAATTTAGCTAATAATAAGACTTTTTTTTTTACTTTAAACTTAATATTTTTTTTTTTTTAGTTATACTACTTCTTATAAGTCTAGCTTATAGACTTTAGTATACTAATAATAGTAGCCCTCTAGCTCCTTAGCTCCTTAACCTTTTTATAAGCTATAAAGACCTTTACTAGTTTTTATCTTATTAGTCTTATATTATAAGGGTTTTATAAAGTATAACTTATAAAGGCTTTTACTAGTAATACCTTAGTTACTTTATATTATACCTTATTATAAATAAATTCTACTATTAGAAGCTATTTAACCTAATTATCTTACTTTATATTATAAAAGGCTTATAAGAAGTATTTTATATTTTAATTTTACTACTTTATTTATTTATTTATTTAGAGGTAGTAAGTAGTACTAAGTTCTTACTTAATAGCTAGCTAGTAGTATACTACTACTTAGAAATAGCTAGTAAATAAGGATCTTTTATCTAATATTATTACTATAAGGATACTAAATCTTAAAAACACTTTATTTACTAAGAGGGTTACTAGCTAGTCTACTATAATAGTCTTTTAAATAAGTAAGTAAATAGTATACTTTATAAGCTTATTTACTATTACTAAAATACTATTATATACCTTACTATTAAAGCTTTTTAACTTTAGTAGCTTTATAATAAAGTCTATAGTTATATATTCTTATAGCTAGCTAAGCACTAGTAGAGGCACTAGCTTCTTATATAGTAAGTAGTGCTTTAGTTTAGTTTACTAGTATATTATATAAGTCCTTATATACTTCTTAACGTCTTTCCTTATTAACTTTTAAAAATATATTTATTTAATATATTTAAGTATATAGTTTACTTTTAGGTAACCCCTAGCTAGCTTATTATAAAATACTACTAGTAACTTTATTCTTACTATATACTTATTAAAAATAAATAGTCTCTTATTATACTATAGTGCTTTATTTTCTTCCCTTATTTATTAACTACTTAGTTATTACTACTTTTTTAATTAGGCCTACTTATTTACTAGTTATACTATAATAATCTTATTTTCTAAGTTAGTAGTAAGCTATCTTTAGTCTAGTAACTTAAGACCTAGTAACTTACTATATCTAAACGTTATAACCTATTTCCTAAATTTACTAAGGAAATTTACTAAGAACACACTATATACTTCTCTCTCTTTCTCCTTAGTAGGCTAGTAGTCTAGCTATTATAAAAGCCTATTTACTATATTATCCTTCTTAAGCTAGTACTTAATCTTAAAGTTAAATAATAATAGATCTTATAGTAGCTAAGCTTAGTAACTATTAAGTTAGGGCTTAGTAGCTAGGTAGTAGTACCTTAAATAGTCTATTAGGAATACTATTTAATATTATATATATAATAAGTAGTGTTTTTAGTAAATTACTACCTTATAGATTATAAGTAGCTTTACCTCTAGTGCCTTATAATAAAGTTTTACTTCTTATAGCTTTTATAATATAAAGGCTATTAAGTACTATACTCCTTTATAAAGCTAGTATATTACTATACTAATTATAAAGTTAAATATATTTATTTTAACCTATATAAGTAACTTAAGGTTAAAATACTAAAGGATTAAGGCCTAAGTAAATAAGGCATAAAGCTTATAAAAAGCCTCCTCTACTTTTTATATTATTACTTACTCCCTTACTACCTTAGATATTAGCTTATCTATTAAAAGTATATATACCTTAAAGTAGTTTTTAATAAATTACTAATAAAATCCTATAAACCTTAAGAAAACCTAAAACTCCTTAACGCTAGTAAGAAGTAGCTACTTTACTATTACTTATACTTACTTATACTCTATAGTAATCCCTTTATTAGACACTATAAAACCTAAGAACCTAATAGACTAGGTGTAAAAAACATACTTCTTAGGGTTTATATATAGCCTTATAGCGTCTAACTAGCTTAGTACCTACTTAACTACTTTTATATAACTTTTTTTATTTTTAATAAAAATTAAGATATTATTTAAGTAAATAATATATATAACGTCTACTAGCTTAATAAAGGTAATATTAATATACACCTAAAACGTTACTAGCGTATTAA